AGCCATTTTTTTAAAATTTAACAAAAATTCCATATAATGTATTGTCACCGAAATTATGAACACCAGCCAAATTTCAAGTTAATCGGAGTTATAAGTGATCATGATGGGAACAAAATTATAATCAATGCCGAAAGCAAGGATTGACTTCTAAGAGTTTTACTTATAATAATACTTATAATAATGTTATATTACATACTTATTTCTTTATATCTAAACGACCAATAGATATATTATGAAGATTTTAACAATGACCTTTTCAAGCCTCACTTGTCTGAGTTTCGTATATAAACATTTCTGTGTCTCTAATTTGTATGTCAGAACTGTCAGACTGATTTTGAGTTCACAGCAACTCCCTCTAACTCATCCACTTTGTGTTGAAAATACACCGCGCGCATTCACAAGGTATATACAAGACAATCTTTTACGACTTTCGTTAATTATTATTAGGATTCTTGTAGGTATATATAATCAAGAAGATAGTATAAGCTGTAAATAATACAGTATACTCTATGTCAGTGGTTTATGAGTTCAGGATTTGATTAGAAATTTTGATGCCAAAAATGTTATACTGCCTCAAAAGTAAATTGTATTATTTGTCCTGTATTGGCATAAAGGAGCTATTCATATATAGGTAATATAATATACAGATCGATATAGGGTTACCACAAGTATATACAAGTATGTATTGAGTATGTTGATTAAATACATGAGTATTTGTTCGAGAAGACAACATTGACTCCGGCGCAGTATATAACGGTTCTGAAAAATGCATGGTTTTGGAATGATACCTACTATATCTTCACTCTTCAGTTGAAAAATATCGAATTGAAAGATACCTATCTCTCGCTCAAGATTTCTTCCTGCTCTTCGCACTATCAAGTATAGTATATAGGTATTAGAATATTGACGATGCATGGTTTCCATAAAAAAAAAACACAGTTGACCTTGGAACGACCCTGAAAAAGACCTCGAGGCTATAAAATGATAACACTTCTTCTTTGCATCTGAAATAAAATTATTTCGACCTCTTACTTATTTTTTTTTTCGTTAAAATAGGTCTATTCCAATTTTCAGAAGATTTGATTGAAGTCACAATTTCAGTTTTTTTACGAAACTAACATTGAGGGTAGCTCGGAAGGGGTGCATTTCAGGGCCCAGGTTGATTAAAAAAAAGTCTCATTTTGATTCCATTATAGAATATGATAGCCCTCTTACATTACATAATAACTCAGATATACTATATTATGATGCAACATCAAGATATTCGAAGTATATATAGGTACCTACCTATATATAGGTTTGAAAATTGTATTTCTTTGTCGAAAATTACTCAATCAGGGTTCTTCAATCTTTGATGTATATCAGTACTGATGGAGTCAATATAATCATTTGCTCTATACAAAACACTGAAGAGTTTATAATGAACGTATGGGTGTACGTATCATACCTATATTCTTGAAATCTCATTTTTTGAGCAATATAATTTCTCAAGTTCTTATGCTTCTGAAATGTCTCAATTTTCCGTCATTATAAAAATAGAGGGGAATCGATGGGATCCGCGGGTCGTCGGTATCGGCTTTATCGTTGGAATACTCCAGTTCGAGGGCCAGTTTGTTCTGGCATAATTTTCCTCAGCAGGTTAAGCACCGTCCCAAGCACATGCGAGAAGTACCTACCTATATAGGAATAGGGGAGAACCGCTATGAAGTGGACACTTCAAGAAAAATAACGGAATCAAAATTTTATAGACCATTAAATTATTCAAAACTGCATGAGCGGAAAGTTCCATCAATTTGTTTGTAAAATAAACTGAAAAAAAAATTCAGACAACTTCATGGTCTGAGTAATATTCAAATTCGAAAAAGTTGCTTTCGTCCATTTCAAAACATCGATGTATATTGAAACGGACAGTGAAGGTTTTGAAGAGGACAGTAGTGGTTTGGAAAATTATATTCGCAATAAAGAACATTAATTGCATGCTTCAAAAATAACTTTTATTCGAACAGGAACTATCTTAGGAACAGTTATTACAATAAAAATGTCGAATACCCTGAAGGCCACAAGTTTCATGTGCCCATGTTCAATCGCAGTATTGTCGTCTTTGGTTCGAGTATTAGGGTTTTTGTTCTCCTTTGGTATGAATTGGTGTTGTTCATTGTTGGTTTTAGATTTTGGAAGTCGGGAATGTTGACTCAGCGGAACTTCATCATCAGAATCAGACGTCCGCTTCAACACAGCGTCTGATGTCCACTTCAAAACAACACACGGTTAACCTCAAAATGACATTACGAAAATAAAATTGTGAAATATTCCACGAGATCTACCTCTACATTTATGTACTAGAGTAACTTAGTTTTAATCTCATCAATCTGAAATCGACTTAATTTCAACAGCTTACCTGTGAAATAGTTCACTATTTTCACAAATAATTTACTTTTTCACCTGATAATAATATGCATGCTGTCGACTCATAATCAACTGCGTCGGCGCGCAATTTCGATCGTAGTGGGAACTGGAGGTGCGTTCGGTTTAACAAAATCGGAGCCGAGCGAGCAGATGCAGATTTGGTGTCACGTGATCACCTAGCTGATAGAGCTAAAGATATTTAACGAACGCTCAACGAGGTAGTAGATTGAGAGCGCCAGCTGTTAGAAGTAACAGAAAACAAACAATTAACCTTATCACTTTTAAAAACACGTTAGGGCAGCAACAAAGTTCTTTTGAATGTTTGTTGTTTACTTGGATTCATATTTTGAAAAATACTAGGGAAGGAATGATTCTGTCTCATATGATCGGTCATTAACTGTGGATCAGGGCAGTTGTGATCGCATATATTACAGATATATAATATGCTACCTACAGCAAATTCTGGGCAAGGAGGATTCTACAAAATTCAGTTTCGTGTTTCGTTCCTAGTTGATCAAGTCTTCAATTTTTCGACACAAAAGAGATATATAATTTAAATAACATGTTGTTGACATTGATTTGTTGACATCTGACGACCGAATAACGGATCAAATCTAAATGATCTGCTCCTCAAGGCGGAGCAAACAGATTACATCTTTCAGCTCGCTCTGACAATTAACGAACACGGAGCAGATTTGACAGAGGAAGTAGATCTGATTTATCGAACGCTTTCCGAGCTAACAGATGGAATCGAGCTAACAGATATGTTATAACCGAACGCACCTTGGGTATAGGGTTGCCATATGTGAATGTAAAATATGCGGTCATACAAACACATAGCAACTACGACAACTGTCCGTTTCAAGACCCGTCCATTTCATAGCGGTTTCCCCTTACCCCCTGCAGACTTTCTCGCACTCACCGAGAATGAGCAAGATGCAACCGTTAACCGAGTGGAGGAGAAACTCAAATCTTTTCTATAATTTCTGATTCAAAATACTCTGATTTGATTGAGTTTCAGTCTATTGAGTGAAAAGCAAGCAAAGCACGAATATGACTGTGAAATAAATCAACGGCGGTATGGATTTCACTATTCAACTATGCAGAATAGGTATCAGATGAAACTCCGTCGACCACTTCATGGAGAGACCTGTTTGAGAGAAAACTAAATTTTTTAGAACAAATATCAACGATTTTTTGGAAGCAACTTCATGTCCAGTACACAGCTTCGCGGATGATAGTACCCTCCATACCGCTTTCTTTTCCAAGGCTCCAATACCAGCATATAACCTCCAGAAATTTAAGAAGAACACCAATTCTGAGACCAATTCCTACCTTATTTCCCTTGGTCCTCACGATGTTCTCTGAACATTACAGGATATCCCTTTTCGTAACCATCAGATCATAAAAAGAAAATTAGAGGCCTAACAATGAATTTGAGTTGAACATTTTCATTAAATTGGAGCTCCATCCAGATTCATTCTGCGCATGACCATCAGCATCAGCCACTGAAATAATATACTTCTATATAATATATAATATACTACTTTACCGGCAAGAAACCGGTGCATGAGTAGGTATATCCTATATATATAGGAATTCAAATATCATACCATCAGAATTTGGATTTTGGAAGCAACCGAAATATGGAATACCTAACTCGCCATCAGGATATATACCTACCGTTGCTTATAGGTATACATATTCTATGGGTACCTATATATATACATGCACTGCTGAGGTATAGTTCATAATAACCAACATATTTCAAATATATATACCTAAGTGAGTAGATACATATTTACCAATCATCAAACCAGAATAGAAGAATATTAACAACAATAAGTAGGTACCTAGAAAGTAAGTAGTAGATAAATAGTTTGGTAAAAATGTAATGAATCGTCAGGAGGCCTGAGATCGTCTAAGCACTTAGCATCCGCAAAAAAATCAAAGCACCTCATTATCGGCCGCAACACCATAATCCGAACCCCAGAAGTCACTTTTGATCACAACATCCATAATATCCATAGTATGCCCCATCATAGAGAAAAGTGCAACATAACACTTTTACATTAACTCTACATGAACCTAACCTAAAACTGAAGCGCCTGCCAGTCTACGTAGGCGGGCTTTGCCTGTGCAACTGGCGGCAAGCCCCACCTAATCTCGATAAAAACCGGTTTCCCAGCCGCCGGTCGATGACGATGGGCCAATGGCAGCGAACAGGAGGCGTGGCTTAGCCGAAGTGACGCTGGCCGGTAGCGAAATCTACCGGCTGAGAGGCCAAACCATCGACCAAAGCGTACTATTATATGATTATTCTTCATTATAGTGCCTACGTCCGTAGGTAGTAGACGGTTGGTTAAGTAACGGTCAATTTACCTACGTAAAAAAACGACCGTATGCGCTCAATTTCGTGTAATTTGGTGTCGGGCTCGATCTTCAAATAGTTTTCACTCAATTACAGTGTGGATTACACCTATTATCGTCGGTGAATACGCTAAATTGCCATCGCTTACGCCCGATCAACGCCATCAACCGTTTAACCTGCACGGGCCCGTCGAATGAATTCGCACCTGGGTGTCGGGAAACAGTGTTAGTGCATTGACAAAGTGGACTCAGTTCGCCTCCAAGACGCCGCCGCACTTCTCCAAAGTGGACAACAAACCCTTTACGACGTTGAACTTCACGGACTTGGGCTCCCCGTTCGGGGGTCCCCAAGAGGACCCGCCGGGCACCCCGACCATGTCCGGCGAGGGGGGCCACATCGGGCCTCCGACACCCCATCACGAGTCCAACAATTCGACGCCGGTGTCGAAGAGTGCCTTCATCGAGCTGCAACAGCACGGGTACGGGCCGCTGAGGACCTCCTATCAGCACCATTTCAATTCTCCGGCGGGGAACGCTCACTCCGGGCCGACGGGGCACGATCCGGGCTTCCCCAGCCCTCGTGGGGGCTTGGGGGCTTACCCCTTTCCGCCGATGCAGCACAACTCGTACGGGGGCTACCATTTGGGGTCGTACGCGTCCAATTGTCCGCCCTCTCCTAAAGATGACGGTAAGTCCTAGAAGATTAGGCAGATTGTATAGGCTGATGGAAGAGACTTCTCGATCAATGTGACCTAGAAGATCTGTTGTGATCATCCTTCTCTAACCCTTGACTTCCAATGAAGTCCAGGTCTTGACCTCGGTCTTATTGACGGTTGAATTTTTATCCTTGGCAGGCGTCAAGACCTGTCTTTGGCGAACTAGTACATTACATTAGCAAATTATAGAAGATCTACCGCTCATTTCAGTCCCCTAACTCTAGACTTCTGATGAAGTCATCAGGGTTCCCTTGGCGTTTGAATTTTTTAACTTGGCAGGCGTCATATTATGAGTATAGGTAGACCTTTCCTAGGTGAATCAGCCCTTGGCAGACTAGTATATTTCATGAGCAAAGTAATAGAAGATCTGTTGCTAATTTTAGTTCCCTAACTCTATAGACTTATGATTGAGATTAGGTCTTGACGGTTGAATTTTCATCCTCGGTAGACGTCATATCTAGACCTGTTAGGTGATTCAGCCTTTGGCGGACTAGTACATTATAGCAAAGTAATAGAAGATCTGTTGCTAATTCTAGTCCCCTAACTCTAGACTTATGATTAAGATTAGGTATTGACGGTTGAATTTTCATCCTCGGTATAGGCGTCCAATACACCGCGGTTAGGTGATTCAGCCTTTGACGGAATAGTACATTACACATAAACAAAGTATAGAGGATCTATATTGCTAAGTCTAGTCCCCTAAGTCTAGACTTCTGATGTAACTTAGGGACTAGGATTCTCTCTCGGATTCTCTTGACGATTGAATTTGCCACTTAGTCAGGCGTCATAAAAGTAGACCTGTTCTATAGGTTATTCGACCAAAGTGTCGGTTATATCTATCGCGATTGACCTCAACTAATTTCAGGTCTTCAACCCTAAGACTTCTGATGAAGCCTTTACTGGATTCTCCTCAGGGTTCTCTTGTCGGTTTGATTTTCCACCTTGGCAGGCGTCATATATTCACTCTTTGGCGGACTGATATATTACAATTTTAGTCCCCTAACTGTCCCCTGTTCTAGGTGATTCAGCCTTTGGCGGACTATAGTACTTAACATGAACAAAATATAGAAGTTCTATTGCTAATTTCAGTCCCGTAACTCTAGATTTCTGTTGAAGCCTGATAGGATTCTCTTCTCGGTTGAATTTTCCACATCGGCACCATCAGGCGTAACATAAGTAGACCTTTTCTAGCTGATTCAGCCTTTGGCGAAATAGTACACTACATGGGCCAAAGTTTAGAAGATCTATTAACTTCATCTAATCTTAGTCCTCTAACCCTTAGACTTCTGATGAAGTCTAGGATTCTCTTGACGGTCGAATTCCCCACCTCCGCAGGCGTCACATAGACCTATTCTAGGATGATTCATCAGCCTTTGGCGGAATAATATATATTACATCAAGAGCATTTCGATTACTTTCATCTAATTTTGAATTCCTAACTCTAGACTTCTGATGATAAAGCCTAGGATTCTTTTGACGGTTGAAGATTCATCCTTTGCTGGTCTATTACGGTTATCCTTATCTAATATCAGTCACGTAACTCAAGACTTATAAAGCCTAGGATATACTTGACGGTTGAATTTTCCACCTGAGCAGGCGTCACATACGTTTTTGGTGGACTAATACACATGCGTCTTGCATATATTATGTTCCGCGGTATGTTGAAGCGGCAAGTGTCAGTCTTCACTGGGCCCATCTTTTTAGGGCAGTATCCAGTGAGGAATCTTTTGATAGCCTTCAGCTCTGGTTTGCTGAGGGTTATTGGTAGCTCCTTATGCGAATGGTTGATGAAATTTTATATATGCTTCCGTCGACCAGAAAAGTAAGGTGGTCGCTGTGTTTGTATTACATAAGTACCAACATAACCAAACGAATTTATCTTATTTCAATCCGTTGGGGGTTAGGACCAGTGTCTGGCTTCATCAGTGGATAAGCTCAATATATATATAGGTATATATATGCAATACCACTAATCCCAAGTTCACACCTATATACTTAGCAGATATATAAAGGCTCGTAATAGGTATAATTTGATCTGACCTAATATTCTTGGTGATTCTGTAGGATACTGTGGTTTTACACTTTGGTCGAGAATATAAGTATACGTATGCATATCATCACAGTTTAGGGAATATCCGTTATCATCAGAGTGGTATAAATTTGGTGAGATTTGCTTTGTATTACGTGATCTCGGGAGTATGGATTACCGTCGCTCAATGGTCAAAGTCGTGATATTACCTGATGTGTATTTGTCCCTCTATTTGCATTGCTCTTGGCAAGTATTGTATATAGGTTTGCCTGATGTACCGTCGGTTGTATACTTGAGAAGGTATCGGTTGAAATATTTTCGCAAACTATTTCAAAATGTCCTTCTTCTGAACTTTTTAAACTGTGTCTGATAAGGTTGACAATGAGTTCAAAGCAACCGTCGGATCAAAAAATGTTTGGGATCTTAATTGTTTCTGTTGAATAGCATCAACAAGGTATTCCCTTGATGGTCGATAAGTATAGGTATAATGATCTTGGTCCAAATTTGTTCAGGAAAGCTTGATGATATGATCGCTGAAGTAGGGATAAAGATATTATCCCGAGTATTATACGCAGTTGCACACTTATACGGCCAAGTTTGTGGATTCTAATTCTATGGGAGAGTATGGTGGTGCCTCGGGTGGTGCCTATAACTTCGTCTTTTATATGATAAAGAAATCCACAGCTCTGGACATGAAATACTACTTTGAAGTAGTTACTCAATACATTTGAAACATTTCCACAAATCAATACAACAATTTTTTCTCTCTTTATATCTTTTGAGGCCAATATCTAGCTTCCACCTCGGCTTCCACAGACCATTATTGGAAGATTCATGAGTTTGTTCCGTATATTTGATAGAGATGTGCAAGATATGAGGAAGAATATTTTGTTCCACAATTTCATGGAGAGTATCTACTACTATCTGCGAAGCTGTATGGATAGAACAGTTGATAAATTCCGAGGTAAATTCTAACCGAGCTTCTAACAGATCGTTGATATTGAGTTGGAACGAGAGTAGGAACAGTGTTGGTTCCTACCAAGATTGATCCATAAGGAACAGAGGAATTGCTGATGGCTATATGGTAAATCAGACGATACTCTGTTCTCCACCACATGGAGAGATCTTTTTGAAAGAACACTCGAAATAAGGAGGCATAGCTGAGTTGGTAAGCCATATGTAGTGGAAGTTAGGGAAGAAGTCCTTGCTGCCAAACCCGATCTAATACTTTCGATATATATCAAACGTCACAGCTATAGAGATTCCCCATGTTTTCATGATGGATGATGGCATAGCTGAGTTGGTAAGTCATGATATAATGGGAATTAGGGAATAAGTCCTTGTTACCAAACAAGCATGGCTTTGGATATCTCTAACGCCAAAATTCACTATATTTTTCTGATGAACCTTGCCATGGACAAGTAACGTCTATATATATAGGCAAGTAAATTACCAGTTGATATCCGATTTTCAATAAGCATTTATGATACCTGAGCTTTCCAGGTGTTTCCAGTAGTATATGGAAAAACAATCGACTTGAACGAGACGGTAAAGAATCGATGCACATCGTCAGGACCGTTAGCCTTATAAGAAGGCCTGATAGCCAAACAAAATAATACCTTTATATACAGTAACTAAATTGGTATCTATCCTCATGTACTTATCGTTAATTACATATTTATATATATTTATATAAGTATAAGTAAGCGGATACACCTCGGTTTGTGTTCATTATTATTCTATGTCGTATTTCACTTCAACACCGATAAAAATGGTAACACTCATTGAATATTTCATGTTAATAAGTCTTATTCTACATCTTCATTATTCATAAATAATAATATTCATTATATTATGATAACTGTCCCATCAACATGTTCCATAAGAAATTCCACTGAAATCATCTTTGTTTTCGGGTTTTCTCACATGAGTGAACTCGGTACATTCAGAAATTTTGTGCCATAGAATATATAATATCAGGAAAGCAATATTGATATATTATAATAAAATTGCTAGATAGGAAACGGAAGGCGAATCTTTTATTTTTCGTGCTGATATCTGAATAAAGATTGCCTGATAGTTCACCTCATGCCTTTAGGAATACGAATAAAAAAAATTGTATTAGGTATATAGTCTCCCATTTGAAGAAGTCCTGTTTACTCTGGCGCCAATACCAGATTCAACGTTTATTCGACGTTGAATGGGTCAAAAATACGTTGTTTGTTGATATTCCAACGTTTTCAATTTGATAATGACAGTGACGTTATAAGAATACGTGATGCGAATAAGATTGTTTCAATGTGATTTACAAATTACCAAATGGTTTGTCGAAGAATTTGCTGAAATATCGATTTCCAATCATCATGCATAACTTTCTGAATATGAACAAACGTTATTTTCAGCGACATTTCTACCTATAATCCACATATGCATGTGAGTAGGTGATTGAGGACATCGATCAGTGGGAGATATATCGGGGAGTATATTCGAGAACATGCGGTATACCCGGGTATACCACTCGGTATATACCATATATGGTTTTGTTATATACGAACTTGAATATAGGACAAAACATTTTGTTGGTTCGATATGGATCTGTTTTCTCCGTGTAGGTATATAACCCTGTATAACCCCAACCTGTAGGAAAAGCTTTCAAATCCAGTTATAATCTCTATATATAATAATTACCTACCGATTCTTTTCCTGAAAACGTGGAACATTATGAAACAGTTATTAAAAACCAATTTTCCAATTAAATCATTAGGGTTGATTAATTAATCGCCATCCATTCAATTTGAGGTTATATGGTGTTGAATTTCCCATATCTTCTACCTAAAAAGAAATGAGTTGAACGCTCATATAGTTATAAATAAGGAGCAGTTGATGTTGAGTCTTCGATGGACATAATATTTAACAAATTGTTATGGCTGGCTAGATTTCAGAATATATCTCGGAATTTATATAAGCATATTAGCAAATAAACTCCAGTTTACAAATGTTTTTGAATCCCTATTAGGAAGATTTAATATTTAGATGATTATATAGGTATATATTCGATCGTTGAACTCCAGATGAAACTGCATGATGATGAAAAATAGTATAGTGATATAGAAAAACAAAAAACTTTTGAAAATAGGAACAAATTTCACATCCGAAAACGAAGATGAGATTCCCTTATCCGATTTGAAGAAAACCCAAAATCCTGAATCAGTCAAGAGAGATACTGTCAAACAATATGATTGCGAGGAATGTTTTGATAATAACTCCAAAACAGTAGATTGGATTTGCTGCATAAGATGCAACAACACTTTGTTTTTTTTTGTTTAGCATTAGAGTTCTTCTCATGTTGTTTAAGTACCAATATTTCAATAAAAAATAGATAACATAATGACCGTATGTTCTTTGAAATACATATTTTTTGTTACTCGAGTTTTTTAGTTTTTTTTACAATCTATCCGTATCCCCTATACCCGAGAGTATATCAACTACGAGTAGTCGAGTACAAAAGTGTACTGATTTTAATTTTTTTCCAGTTAATTTCATTTTCATTTTTCCTTTCTTTAAGTGCATAATATAGAACAGAAAGCAGTCCATGACATAAACCATGGGATTTAGTCTCATCGTATATATTTTGTGAATCCCTCAATAGGATTGATTTGTCTTGAATTTTTATCTAAGTTTCGTGAACAACATAAATCAAGAAGAAATCTAATAAATTTTATGAGTAGAATTGAATTCATTTATTTGTCATTGCAATTATTATCATCATAGGTACTTATTTGTCGAGAATAAATATACATGTGGGCAGATATATTCATTTTGATAAAGGCCGATTATATTTATATAAGTAAGGGAAATATAATGGCTGAAGCCATCAACTAAGGTGTTTCTTGATGTCTATCTGGTGACAATTGTCCAAACTATGTGAAGTAATGATCCGTGAATTATGGGCAATTTGTCTAATTAAATTTCATGGAAATAATCGACTGTTTCTCGAATCGATATATACATGCACTGCCATCACAGTTTCCTATCTACAGGGCTTCCAATTCAAAGCAACACGAAAGGGATCCCACTTATTATGTCCAATGAACATCGTGCGTACCTATACATATATACAGGGTGGCATTGAAATAAGTGCAAATATTTCAAACACTGAAAAAGCTCGACGTATACTATCGAGTGGCATAAATAAAAAAAAATTGGGATCAAAATAAAATTTGAGGTTGGACCCGTTTTTCCACCCAAAGTTCTACACTATAGCAAATCTGACGTCACCTCTCTTCAATCACGCGGAGTTCAATTATTTAAATTGTTGACTTACTTGATTTTTTTCTCGTATTTTGTTCAATTTTTGGTATGAAATTTCTCGTTGATTAGAAGAATTATAAAAAAATCTGATATCATGGGAATATTCCTTATAGACTGTATCATAAGTATTAATGTGCTGAATATGTTCACTTATTTCAAAAACACCTTGCATGTATATAGGACGAAAATGGGGAGAGATGCTATATAAACTAACTCATAGGTATTCTTTTTTTATTGTATAGGTTATAGGTTCTTGAGAATACTTCCTCTATGGTGAATAATCTCGAAGCTTGGCGTTCTATATACACAACCGAGTTCTGATAAAGAGTTGTTCGACATATCTTGAGAGGTTGACGACAAAAACTGGGCTTGTTGAGTTCGTCTGGCTGGGTATAGTGATGGGATGATAGCCGCGAGATTTCTGGAGAGTATTTCTTGGGAATGGTCGTATATAGAATTTCTTAGGGTATTCCAATGTTATCAAAGAATTAGTGAGTGTTACATTACCAATCAGGTGAATGGCTCGTCTTTGGATGGAATCTATATATAAGAGCATGTTTGGGTGCTGAACCCCATACGTGGGAACATTATTCTAGATCTTCAGATAAGTTTGATGTGATCGGAAGATATATATAGTATAGTGGAATTTTTTTCAGGGTGGCTATTGTTTTGAACTGAAACGTCACAGCTTTGTTTCTCTTAACCTTTATTGTCTATAGTCAGTGTGTATATGTCTGTAATCTGGAAATAAAGTGCCTACCCATGTTTCTTCTGCACTACAACTTAGTTTTCGATAGTATTCGACAAGGTTAAGGTGTATGAGACTATCTCTTGTACAAAGTAGAATTAAACATATAAAACACATTATTGGGGCTTTTAAAAATAAACTTGTACATCTGTATATATTATGTAATGATAAGCTGTCGTGCTATAGCTATTGGATGATGATGTATATATTAGAAAAATGCATTGGTTTGTTAACAAAAAAAAACATCAATTAAAATTGAACGGCACAACAGTCTTTCGAGGTCTTTATCAAGAAAAAATTCTGTATAGGTGTTTATGAACTTCATTATCATAAGTTCGTTACCTTTATCCCACATTATTTTTAACAAATTCAGGACATCAAAAAGTGCTTTGAAATGCAGTCTCGAATGCAGTTTATCGTCAAAGGTATAATTTACTACAAAATATATAATTTTCATTCAAAATTATAAAAATAACGAAGTAGGTAAGTATATAATAATTGATTGAGTTCGATGTTCTCGGATATCTCTTATTTTCTAAACATAAGTAATGGATCAAAAGAAGTGGGGTGGCAGGGGGGTTCATTTGAAATCAAATTAACGGTATATGTTGTTATCAAATTGTTGATGGTTCAAAAGTCATTCAGTTTTTCTGAAAAATGCGACCCATTTGAAAAAAATTGATAACAGAAAGAGTGTTTTGAATAACCCCATATGTTATACCTTTTCGGATTCTGTATTGAATGGGCACCTTTTTCTTATGATTGATTATCTTTGTGGGGTAGTTTTTAAATCTGCCAGCGGCATTCAAAAATCGACATAAATATTTCATTCGATGACCATAAACCTCTTAACTTTCGAACTATAGATAGATAGAGATACATACAATAATTTCTCAATAATTTCTCAATGATGTCTCAATAATTTCTCAATAATTTCTCAATAATTTCTCAATAATTTCTCAATAATTTCTCAATAATTTCTCAATAATTTCTCAATAATTTCTTAATATATATCAATAATTTCTTAATACTTTGACAAGAATTTCACAATAATTTCCTTTTTTTCGCGCCAATCAATGTGGACTTTCTTGTTCCAGAAAAATGTTTGTCGTTGGAGAGGCCGTCGGGCGGTGGCAAAGGCAAGAAGATGCGAAAACCGCGCACCATCTATTCCAGCTTGCAGCTGCAGCAGCTGAACCGACGTTTCCAGAGGACGCAGTACCTGGCCCTGCCCGAAAGGGCCGAACTGGCTGCCAGTTTGGGTCTCACGCAGACGCAGGTCAGTCTCTTCTCTGTTTCGCTTTAATTAAAACGATTAATTTCCGTCTCAACGTGAAAGTGATGCCGTCGCTTAATGAACTTTTCTTCCCCGAATTCGAGAAGACGAGCTTCGCGACTATTTGATGAATTTTATATACTAGGTGATTCATGTTCGTGTCGTTCAAAAGTCAGTTGGAGCACCACGACAAAAATACATAACGCGGTTTCGCTTTTTTTAAGTTCGTTTGAATTCCGTGCACGTGGCACATATTTATAGATTGGGTTTTTCCAATCCAACATTTTTTCCACGCCATGTATATGATGAACATCAATCCATTGTACAACTGAAAAACCCTGCAACTGACTTTTTATAGGCTATACCTATTACCGATTGCTCTGCTTTTAATACATAATATACTTATATATAAGGGGAGATTCGTGTGAAATGTCAGCTAATACGAGGAGAATAATCATCCCACCCCAGTGCCATACTTTAAATAAGGCCGTAAATAGTTGAAAACATTGAAAAACAAATTGTGTTTTTAGTTTGAAGAAGTAAATCAATCTACATTTGAAATGTTGATTAGACGAAAATGTGATAAACTACAGAAAATACTTGTTTCCAATTTTTTCGAGTGATTTCCTGTTGTTCTTTCTTCATGTAAATGTACAGCAGTTAAAAACTCACTAAATTCCAATATGGAATACAAGGAGATGTGAAAAACTTCATACAAGATCACTTTTTCCCAAGTTCTCTCAAGTGTCCTTCTGTTTTGCCCTATAATTATAGCTCCTCTGATAGTGAAATTGAGCACTCAGAGAGTCAAACAAGAAACCATCATTTCCAATTTTTTCTTTTTCACATTTTCGAGTACCTATACCTACCACAGATATCGAGTCTTTTACCAAAAAAAAAACTTTCCCAAAATTCGATAACAAATATAAGTATGCTACGAACTTTATGAATGGTACTGTACATCACGATTGAATATAATGAACTCGCATTCTTGTGTTGAAAAAACAAGAATTTTAATTATTTAACACACTATAGATATTATCATAGGGAAATTCAGTTCGAAAATTTTAACAAGTTATAAAACAGCAATTAAAGCTTACTTATCTCTCTGTATTACGTTACTAACGAAGATATCCCTCGAATTTCAATCTATAATAATTGATTGTACGCCTCTCAAATAAAGTTTTACAACCATAAAACGTAAAACGGTTAGATATTTATAAAAAAAGCTGTAAAAATTCGTTTTCAATATCGAAATATTGCATCATACCTAATATGAATATAAAAATATATCTATTCGACGATCGTTACAAAGATAGCTTGAAATATACAGGGTATACCGGGTATATATACTATACGGTATGAAACTCCAGAGGATAACTGGTTAGGTCGTTTAAAAAATAAATGGTCCTATAATGCCTAATGACATACCTATCCTAAGCACTTTTGCTCATATTATAGAGAGCAAATAAATTTGTTACAGGTATATATACCTATTTTCACACCAAAAATGTTATTTATATATATTGAATGTTTTCCGAACTTATGACCAGATGAAAAATGTAGTACTTACTAATGTCAATTCAGGCTTAGATTAATCATTGATTCAAAGAGAAAATAGGGCTGATGCTGATTCACTGAAAAAGTTGAAAAAAAAAAGAAAAAAAAAACAGAGAACGGTACACTCCCAGTGGGCCCAGTGTTTGAATTTGATGCATTTTATCCACATTTTTCTGTACTTCCATAGAATAATGTCGTCAACAAATCGGTCTGAAATACTATGCCATTTCACCTTGATGAGTTCGATGCCTTTTTACATCGGAATACACTGGAATTCAAAATATGGCCCGTATGTCACTTTACCCAAATATATATGTCATTTCAGGCAGAACTCCTGTAAGTCGGTGAGGAAAACAGTATATATTTATAAAATTTAATAAATATACTTTGTTAATTTTGTACAGTTAATGCGACGTTTGAGACACTTTTTTTAGAACACCCTGTATATCAAAAATTGAGAGTGCATACGAGCAACGAGCAAGACTATCCATTTTTCCTATCCGCATACAAAATTGAGCCATAATTGGTCGATCGATCCACAGTTTAAAATGTCACTTTTCATGCAGCAGCAGAAAATGATTTAGTGCTTTCCTCAGAATAAATTATGCTTAACATGTTAACGACGTATCCGTTTTCTAGTAAAAACGCGTTATCTCCCAATTAAAAACACTCATTGATAAGTATTAGGCGATACGTCATTTCAAGACAATGAAGTTTTATAGGTACCCAACGTTAATAATGTTTTTCGTAAAATGTCTTGCTAATTGCCTCAACTTTCTTGATGAGCGGTTCAAAAATTAGTTGAGTAATATATAACATTCAGTTTTATCAATGAAAAAAACTGCTCGCTTGTGAATATGTGCATGGGATAATCACAATTCACAATTAACACAAATGTAGAGTACCTATGAGAACTAACCTCGAAATTCACATCAGAGTAACACCTGTATATTCTATAATAAATCAATTAAATTAATATGATCGTTCATAGCTAACATAAATCGTAGCAATTAATTCTACGCTATAGTAGTTTATCTGTAATATCGATTCGGAATTTTATGTTATGTGCTTGTTATAATCTCTATAACAAAGCTACAAGTATCTAATAATATTACACAAATATCGAATCTTTGACTGTACTTTATTCAGCTAAAGATGCTTGAAATATAACTTTGAAGCAGAGTAAAAGTATACCAACAAAATCTCGGATGGCAATAATAAATCTTTTCATATGAACTTCCCACCGGTAATAAATCATAAGATACATACAAGATTAAGCAACTTGGAACGAGGCTATCTTTTATTTATTGAGAAGAAGATCCGAAGTAGCTAAGAGTCTTAAATTTTCTGAATTTATATAGAAATATAGGATGTTCGTGTCTATATATACACGATTGTAGCAAATAAAACTATAGATAATCAACAGTCAATAAAACGCTGAGCTATTCTTCACTTATACATAAAAAAATTACAATCAATGTTAGTACTTTCATATTCCCTATATCAATATTTTCTTATTTGTAATATAATAATTAATATCATGAAAGTCACTGTCAATGGATATGTTTGTCAAATTTTCTGCAGCACAGTTCCTATGATGATGTCGTCACATATATAGATTACAATCAATAATGGTCTGAGAATGGTTCCCTGCAGCACCCCTGTGGTGGACCAACTGGTATACCGTTCAGAACTCACTTATGATTATGTCTGAAATTCACTCTGGTTAATAATGGTCGAGAATGGACACAGAAAATATCATCTCATGATGACGTACCTATATCAATCCAAAAACTAACATTATCCTATACTTACATAAAAAAATCTCAATGATGATATACCTACTTTGTAATCTTTGGATGAGATGGAATATAGAAATTTCGTATTTTCATTACTTGATAAATTCTTACATTCCCGGTGGGTCTTCGACAGGATGTTCAATTGAGATCTAACTCTAGATTAAATGGAAGGAAAAAAAAGTATTGGAACTAAAATGAAGAGCGTAAATACATACCTTGCATTAATCTTTCATTAAGTCAGCTACTGTTTCTTGCCATCATCAATCCACCTGACAAAACACTGTGAAACACAATCGGTAAAAAATTCTTTCCTTGTTATTATTATTAATAAAAACAATTAGTAATGGATGTCTTGAAGTATAACTGGTCTTTGTGAGAAGAGGCGCAATTTTGAATTTCATGCCAGGTAATTACGGATTCGATTCATATTATTATGAAATTGGTGCTTTTTATGTTAATAACTACATGTGGAAGAAGCTCGGTAGCAGTTGTTCTTTGGGATCATTAATCTGGTAGGAATCCTGTTGAAAGTTTGGTTCATGCCTCCAAAGTTTCTGATGGCAGTTTTTCAACTTTTCATTCATATTCAAATTTATATACAGCTCACACTATCTCTATATCGGAAATCAGTCGGGAAAAATCCATGAAAATATGCATGCTCATATTTGAGAATACGCTCCCTTCATTTAAAATATTTTCAGGAATGCAATGTTGCCGATTCTATCAAAAAGTAGCAACAATTTTGTTATTTCAAATAGAACACCTTGTATATTATTGCATTTTCAAATTCTCCCTGAAGAGCTGATTTTATCGATGCAGTACACTTGGGGTCTATCGGAAATGATTACAGATATATAGGGTGTTCAAAAACGAGATTTTTCAACTTTAGGATTCGTTTGTGTCGAAACTATTTATTTTCAGCCGAAACGGCTCACATGTCCCTATCTCAACTTTTGATTTCCTATTTACTGATATTTAATCGGAACAGATACAGGGTGATCAGAATTCTGAATCTTGAACCACTCTGTATCTGTTCCGATTAAATATCAGTAAATAGGAAATCAAAAGTTGAGATCGGGACATGTGAGCCGTTTTGACGGATAATCAATAGTTTCAACACAAAAAAATCCTAAAGTTGAAAAATCTCTATTTTAAACACCCTATATCTCTGTAATTATTTCCGATAGAACCCAAGTGTGATACATCGATTAAATCAGATCTTCAGGAAGAATCTAAAAATGCGATACGACTTTCTAGTAGAAGCGACAACACTGCATTGTCGAAAATATTTTGAATGAAGAGAGCGTATTCTGAAATATAAGCAAGCACATTTTCATGAATTTCTCCCGACTGATTCTCGATATAAAGATAGTGTATGCTCGTCTTGACATACCCTGTATATTATGTTGAATGGTTCCGAGGTCTGGAAATCACAAATTTCAAACGTTCAGAAATCTGCTATGCTCATGGCACTGAGAAAATCTTTAAAAAATATTTAAAAAAATTGATTCAAGCCCTTAACGTCTCCAGTATATGGTATAGGCCCTTGAACAAAATTTCGGAAATCTGAACCCAATTCTGATGAATTTCAGATAAACAGTTTTAGGAAATATTGAAGAAGATCTGTCTTCACGGTGCTGTTCT